TTGGAACCATAATCGACCTTGTGAAGACTGGTTCTAGGTAGGAACTAGAACCAACACCCAGGGCACTTGTTGGTTCCGATTCTACTCTAAAATCTTGCTTACCCTTACTTTCCCCTACCCTATCCATCGTCGACGAACCCCTTTTCACCCATTGACATCGAATCCGTACCGAAGCACACAAACAACCGATTAACACCCCTTTGCAAACCCGTGTGTCAATCCTCCACAACTTACAAGTCCCACTTGTATATCGTATTTGGCCGAAGAAGCATTGCCCAGGTAAAAGTTCTTATCTTCTTGGGACTCCATAGACCAAAATTTTCTTTCATTATATGGGCAATACCTATCTGCTTTAGTAGATCATATGAGCGTAGAAAAAGCCTTGGATTAGTTTATGAACTGGCATCTCTTTTTAATTAATTCATATCATTGTTTCATGTGCAGTACTTTCCTATAATTATTAGATAATTTATCGGATTTTCGATTTTTTTATTTTTATTTTTATTTGTGTAGTTATGGTGGCAGTGAATTGGAATTTTTTGGTTGTTGTTGTGGTTTGTTTAATTGGGGATTTCCCTCTTGAAATTTAGAGATTGTTGTGGAAGAAGGGTGGGGTGCTAGGCATGGAGGATGAGGGTAATAAGGTCATTCAATTTTTCACTGTGAAAACTATCGAAAAGTAACTGACTGCAGGGGGTCGCTAGGGTGTGCATGGGTAACGGGTAGAACCGGAACTGGAACCGGAACCTACCTAGAACCTGCACTGTGCGGGTAGGTTCCGGTTCCAATTTTTTGGAACCGGAACCGTAACCTGTAAAATGGTACCCTGTTTGGAACCTGTTTTGGAACCTGTTTGGAACCTGTTTTGGAACTTATTTGGAACCTATTTGGAACCTGCTTTGGAACTTGCTTTGGAACATGTTTTGGAACCCGTTTGGAACCTGTTTAGTAAACTATTTGGAACCTGAACTATAATGAAATATTTGTGAAATGTAAATAATGGGGGAGTTTCTATTTTACATATGAAAAAATTTAAAATAGAAAAAGTTAAATTTTAGAATAACCTAATTAAATAAATATACGATACAATTATACTTATTACATATAAATACACCATATTAAAAGCTTTAATATATTATATACATTAATATTAAAGTTTTGATCAATTAAGTGAAAATTGGAATTATGATCCAATTAAAAGTGTTTTACATTTTTAATGTTATTAGAAGAATTATTTTTGAATAAAATAGTATATTTGATTGAGAATAATATATTTAGTTATTTACTTCAATTATCAAGTTCTAATATATCTATAATAAATTAGTAATTAATTAATTATATATGATAAATTGATAAACATTAATAAATTTAATTACTAGTTAAATATCATACTTAATCAATTAAACTTATATTATAATTAAATGATTACTTAATTAATTATATTTTATAACATTATAATTGTTTATGTATAATTAATTATAGCATTACATTAATTGATTACTACTTAATTAATTGACTTATAAGTATACACTAATTAAATAGTTAATTAATTGACTATAATTAGAAATTTAATTAATATAGCATTACGTTATAGATTTATAGTATATACTTAATCAATTATAACATTTATTATAAAAATAGTACAAACTTAATTAATGATTAAAAATTTAATTAATTATAATATTACATTAAAAATTTATAGTAGATTACTTAATAGTTAATTTACTAAACATTATATATAGATGATTATATAATTAATTAAACAGTTATAATTAAATAATTACTTAATTGATTATGTCATTATTATAAATATTAGTAATTACTAATTTACTACATAAACATTAGTATAATACTTAATTAAATGATAGAAATTAATTAATTATAACATTACCTTATAACATTTCATTTAAACATTAATAAGCATTACTTATAGTTAAATAATTATCAATTAAATTAATTATTATTACATTATATATTATGATCACTTACTTAATTATAGCATTATATAGTTAAATGATTACATAATTACAAATTAGTTAGAATTTAACTTATATTATAAATATTAGTAATTTACTAATTTACTATATTATTCATACTTAATTAAACGATTAAAATTTAATTAATTATGATATTATCTTATATATTATAATATGATTACTTAATCAATATAACATTCCATTATAAACATTAGAATATTAATCAAATGATTTGAAATTTAATTAATTATAATATTAAATTATAGATTTATAGTATGATTACTTAATTCATTATAACATTACATTATACTATTATAGTATGATCATATAATTAATAAACATTATATAATTAAATGATACTTAATTGATTATGAGTTGTGATATTATGTTTTAAACATTAATAATTACTAATTTACTACATAAACATTAGCACAATACTTAATTAAATGATAAGAAATTTAATTAATTATATATTACCTTATAAACATTTCATTATAAACATTAATTAAACATTACATTAAGTTAAATAATTACTCAATTAAATTATAATATTATTATATCATTATATATTTGATCACTTACTTAATTATAGCTACATAGTTAAATGATTACATAATTACTAATTAGTTATGAATTTATAACATACATTATAAACATTAGTAATTTACTATATTATTACACTGCTTAATTAAACGATTAAAAATTTAATTAATTATAACATATATATTATATTTTATATATATAATTACTTAATTAATCAATTATAACATTCCATTATAAAATTAGTATATTAATCAAATGATTTGAAATTTAATTAATTATAATATAAATTATAGATTTATAGTATGATTACTTAATTTATTATGACATTACATTATACTATTATAGTATGATCATATAATTAATATACATTACATAATTAAATGATTACTTAATTGATTATGAGTTATGATATTATGTTTTAAACATTAGTAATTACTAATTTACTACATAAACATAGCACAATATTAATTAAATGATAAAAAATTTAATTAATTAGTAATTTACTAATTTACTATATTATTACATTACTTAATTAAACAATTAAAAATTAATAATATACATTACCTATTATTATAATATGATTACTTAATCAATTATAACATTCCATTATAAGCATTAGTATATAATCAAATGATTTGAATAATTAATTATAATATTAAATTATAGATTTATAATGATAATTAATTCATTATAAAATTACATTATACTATTATAGTATGATCATATAATTAATATAACATTACATAATTAAATGATTACTTAATTGATTATGAGTTACGATATTATGTTTTAAACATTAGTAATTACTAATTTACTATATAAACATTAACACAATATTTAATTAAATGATAGAAATTTAATTAATTATAACATTACCTTATAAACATTTCATTATAAACATTAATTAAACATTATATTATAATAAATAATTACTTAATTAAATTATAATATTATATATACATTATATATGATCACTTACTTAATTATAACATTATATAGTTAAATGATTACATAATTACTTAATTAGTTATGAATTATAACATTACATTATAAACATTAGTAATTTACTATACTATTACGTTACTTAATTAAACGATTAAAAATTTAATTAATTATAACATACTTATATATTTGTAATATGATACTTAATCAATTATAACATTCCATTATAAACATTAGTATATTAATTAAATGATTTGAAATTTAATTAATTATAATATTAAATTATAGATTTATAGTATGATACTTAATTCATTATAACATTACATATACTATTATAGTATGATCATATATTATATAACATTATATAATTAAATAATTACTTAATTGATTATGACATTATATTATAAACATTAGTATTTACTAATTTAACAATACTTAATCAAATTATTTAATTTTATTAATTTAATATTATATTATAAATTTATGGTATGATTATTTAATTAATTATAACATTCTATTATAAAAATATTACAATACTTAATTAAATGATTAACAATTTAATTAATTATAATATTACATTATAATAAATAGTATATTACTTAATTATTATAACATACAATTTACATTATAGTTGATACTTAATTAATTATAACATTACATTTACATTGTAGTATGATAACTTATTTAATTATAACATTACTATTTCTATTATAAATTTACTAAATATATTTGTATATTATAAATACCCAATGACCAATTATAACATTAAATTAATAAATTTAACCCTAAATGATTTTGTGTGAGTTATTTTGTTGAATTGTGATGAATAAGTTTTGTGTTTTGGTTTTGATTGACGAATTTTATGTGAATTATGATGAATTGATTGAATTCGTGTTGCTTAGAGATTACAGGTTATGAGTTACATGGACACAAATGATGAATAATGAAAATTTGTTAGGGGTGTATTTATAGACTTATAAGGTATTTTGTTATTTAAACAATAGGGGGGTAATTGATTTTTACAGGGTACCCTGGAAAGGAACCGGAACCTGCATTTTAGTTCCAGTTCCTTGAATTGAAAAACTTGCACTGTGCGGTCTGGTTCCCATTCCTTTTTTGGGAACCTGTACTGTGCGGTTCCGATTCCGATTCCGGTTCCGATTCCTCCGAAAAATACAGGGTACCTGAACCGTTTACCCCTAAGAGTCGCTATTAAAGTTAACACTGACACCATAGGGGTTTAACTAGATTACGGAAAACCTCGGGGGTTGAAATTGTTTCGATAATTATATCAATTTTTTAATGTATTTTTCAATGTACCGATTAATGGGATAATGAGATACTTTATTTGATATGAAAAATATGAAATATTACCTACGAAAAATAACATTGATTCAATTTTATAGGTCGAAACTAGTCCACATAATCTGAACCGTACAACTCGGATAGAAGGGAGATAAACGGCTGAAATGGCGCTAACAGTTCCATTACTTTAATGCCTCGCACGACATCGTTTAGTATCTTCGAAAATACACAATCATCGTTCGTCGCCATCGAAGTCTTGAATTCAGATGAAGTAAACCATTTTTGTTGTCCCCGACTCTGTCTCTGTAAGTCTATCTAACTCAATCAAAGTTGTGTATTGTCCTAACATTCTATAGAATGAAGATTTTATAAACTTGATGTAGAATGAGAATGAAATTTCTAGATTGGTACTTGAAGATTGCGGTTGGAGCTGCTTTGATTGGAGGTTCCATGGAGCTGTTCATGATCAAAACCGGCTTCTGTGTGAGAGCCATCCTTTCTTCTCTTCTTTTTAATTGTTTCCAGCTTACCCTTTTCTTTATAGAAATTGGTTGCTTGGTTTCAGCTAAAAAGTTTAAACTTGCAATAGTTTTTGAGTGTTTTATAGAAAATTTGTATATTGGCATTGCTTTATCAGTGTTTTTTTTTTCCCGGCAAAAAAAATAAAATAGCAATCAAGTAATTTAAGAGTGTTAAACAAAGCCAAAGCTAGTTGATTTTTTATTATTATTATTATTAATTTTTTTTTATCTACAATTTTATAACTTAAGAGATTAATGAATGAGGACATTGCAATTACGCTCTCTTTGGTTATTTTTTAGAAAGCAATGGATTTGTAACATTACTGGCTATATATGTCTTGCCTCCACCAAAGTTGTGAGGGTAATTTCCATGACCTTTTAGCACCATCCCTTTGGCTGCCAATAAATTGAAAGAGAAGTAAATCGAGTGAAGTTTGAAACTTTACGTTTGTTTACCATGACATTTAATTTCTTAATATATTTTATCACATTTGTTTGGCGTGCATGAGTTACGTAGGGAATCGCCTGTCTTTCAAAATTGAAGATATTTCTAGTCAGGAAATATATTGATTCCTTCCTATCCATGGCATGGCGTAGTTTTCAAGCCTTTAAGAGGTTTTTGACTCGTTTTAGTGTAGTTTCATCTTTATTGATGGATTTCTCCAACATTGTATTTTAATGTATTTTTACGCAGATTCTTGTGCATCCTTTTGCTGAACAGTGTTTTAATATGCAAATGCATATTGTATTTCTCTTCTTTTTCCCTTCCAGTTGTTATGTTACTTTGTATCATTCTGTTTCCAGAAGAAGTGATGAGAGTATTACTTATTACTTTCAACCTTCAGAAGAGGATGGTACATCAAATGAGGAAAATGCTTTTTTTTTGGCTCTTTAATTTGATTGTTTCGATTCTTAATGCACTGAATTAATGAGAGCTTAGGTTGGTTGCTGATGGTACAAAGATTATAAGACATTAGCCCACTGATGGTGCATGATTAGAAGAAATTAAGTGTAATGGATGGCAGCATAGAATTTTGTTAGTGCTAAACCTTTATTTCATCAGTTGAGGTCTTTAGATATTAATCATCAAATTTAAACTTGCTTATGTTTAGATTGGAGTAAAGAAATATTAAAGGTGGTCACTCTACTATTATGGTTTGTAAAGTAATGATTTCTTAACCATTTTGAAATCTTTAAGATGGATCAAGAGGGATTAGGTCTGGAACTACTACTACTTTTTTATTAGGTCTGGAACTACTACTACTTTTTTATTAGGTCTGGAACTATTATTTCTCATAATCTAGATCATCTTTGTTATTGTAACATGGATGTTGGATGAGGTATATAGAGGGGGATATTTTGATCATGACCTATGCATTACCATCATGGTCATGGTTATCATATCAAATGCTAGTGGACACTGTGTGCCGCATCCTATCTAAAGATTTGTCCCATTTTTTGGATGAACTCTTGATTGAACATTTAACTCAACTGCTGTTTTTATACCCGCAGATGACAAAGTAACTGTTTTGGAGTCAGAGAAGCGGGCTTGGGAAGCTTCACCAGAAGCTCAGGCAGTCAGATATGCACTCAATCCCTGGAGAAAACATGAAGCTGAAAGAAAAAGTTCATAATATTGACTGAGACTGCTTTTTATGAGGTTTGTTTTCTGAATAAATCACATGTTGGAATTCCTAATTTGCTATACTCAATATTTGAATTAAACTGACAGCATTAAGAATTGGTGATTCTAATTCTTGCAAACTCTCAAAATTGTTTGTTTATCCAATTGCCTGTCTTTCTGGTCTGTAAGTTGGAGAGTAAAATTCTTGGATGGGGGCTATAACATATATTTGACTGGTGTTTCATTTGCCTCTGTTTTTGCTTGTGATATAGTATATCTTAGACTTGGCAATTAAAGATAGTTCCACCTTCAAGTGTGTCCTTAGGGAATATGATAACAAACGTAAAATGTGAAGTTGATGTTTAGTACTTTTCATCAAAGGTAATAATTTTTGTTAATAATTTCATTTGACTTTTTTCAATGGTAACCAATCAATGCCAATTTGCCATTTTAAGTTTCTTTACATTTGTATCTTGACACATGTTAACACTTAAAGATATGATTATTGTTGTTGTATGGATCTTCTTTTTTCGCTTTGTCATCTGATTCAATAGGACAATTCTAGGTGTAGGTGACGGACAATAACCGGTTGGAAGATTTTGCTTGGAAATTTGTAGTATGCCTAAGTTTCTTATTTTGACCCCTTGATACAACTGTGAATGATTAAATGCACTCTCTGTGGATTCATAAGAGCAAGAATTTGCAATTTCTAGCTGAAACTGTGAAACTTATTCTACCTCTATACTGCCAGTCTCTAAGCGTAGGCCATTTGCTGAATTGACGGTATCAATAGGCAATAATGATGCATACTCAGTAGTATTTTTTTTTTTTTTTTTTTTGGGGGTGAGATGAATCATAATAAGTAATCCTAAAATGCTAAGGAGCTTCTTTCATTCTTTCTGCAGGGAGAAAATCTGTTCGTACAAAGGATCATCTTCGTAGACAGTGTTTCGTATCAATCTTCTGAAGCTGCTAAAGTAATTATGAGTCCAGAAAAATGGACATTCTTTGGTGAACGAGTGAGATTTCACCTTAAACATTTTAAAATATTGCAATATGTTGTATTTTTTCATCATTCTTGGGGACATGATGAGCCCTTGCTTATGTAGAATATATCCATGGGGCCTTTATTATTGGCTACTTTAGTGTAGCTCTAGGACATGTTCTCATTTGAAGACATTTTGGAGAAGTTTTTTATAATAAATATTTAAAATTGTTGTTACTAATATTCCTCAACACCATGTCCACGAAACTTGACATATGGACATAGTTGACATGAGCACGACTATCTGCAAATATCATTTGGTTATGTGTGAGTTAACACTTACATAAATGGTCTCATGTGAATATTTGAGCAAGCAGTATGCCATTGAAGCAGGCAAGTGTATTCTTTTTCTGTGATTCTTGAATTATTTATATCCAGCCTTCCAGGCCGTGATACTTTATTGGCCAATAATTTTATCAGGTAAGTTTTAATGTGCGATTTGCAAGATTTACTAAATATGTTTTACTGTTATTATTGCGATTTGTTACTATATATATCTTTATCAATTTGATGTTGAATGTTCTTAGTATGATATTGTCAAATCTTATTATTTCCTTTAAAATTATTAGGAGTATGTTTTTAGTATCAATACATTTCGTTTGATTCAATGATCAACATATGGTTTGGTTCGTATTATGATAGGACCTTTTATAGGTGAAGACTGAATTTCTTCACTGGTTTCCTTAGTTTCTGATTTGTGTTAGGCTGATATGAACATATAGACTTGTTAGGATTCACACTAAACATTTAAATACATTATTGTTAATTTGTATTGCATAATCTCCCTAGACATTGTCATTTAATGGAATTTCTTATTTTTGGAGCTGACCAGACAAAGTCAGTGGGTCCAATATTTGATAGAAAATTAAGTGTTAATCATGATACTAACGACCATAATTTAGATGCTTTGAATGCTATGAGTCGGCAGGACCCATACTTTTGGCCAATAATTATTGCCTTGCACTAAAAGGTAAGTAGTTCAAGTACTTAATTACCAAGATCAAAACATTAATTCTAGTTTCAGTTTTGCCCTTAAACCAAAGTAATTAAGGATCCCTTGAGTAGGCTTTAGTGGTTGTTTTAAACTTTAAAGTAAGTCTAGTTCTTTCAATTCTAATATCTATATATTGAAAAAAATCTTCCCTGGATGTCAGTACAACCATCCAATTATGGAGTGCCATGTCAGCGTGTGTGAGATACACTTGCCCCATGACTGGTCTATATATTAGTTTTGAAGCTTGGTGAGTCTGAAAACATTTGGAACTTGATGGAAGCTTGGAAGTTAAAGGTTAGTGGTTCCTAGAAGTGGGGTTACAATCACCATGTTGTTTTCATTTCACATTCTATTCTTTTCTTTTTGACTAAGCATATAAAATATCTTTTAATGACACATACAACACATTGATATGGTAATCTTTACATAAACCCAGGCTAAAAAACTTGACTCAAAATCTTCAAACCCTGTGATATGGAGTCATCCTGGTGTCATTTTAGATGTGGCTCTATCCTCCAAGCTCAGGCAGGCTTATGATTAATACAAAGAATGGACATAGTCATCCAGTATTGTTAACTTTAATTATTGCATCTAATCAGATCAAACCCATCTTAATTAAGTCTCTAAGACGGATGTAAATTATTGTAATGCCTTGCGTGTAAGTTGTTCTATGGATAGATGACATGAAACCCACCAATAGAATGGAGTTTCAACTTTCAAGCAAGATGAACGTCCTACCACACTATTTTACTAGAAACTTACATGCATTATTGCCTTTAGTCATCATCACATTAATTAACTTTCACCAAGTTTGCAAACTATATATTAATTACCACCAAATTCAGAGATGAGAACTCATCACCTACAACAATTAATTCTAATCGAACAGTCACCACTATATTTCTTTGTTTCTCTGTTTGAGTTAGCAGAATAAATTCAATGGACATCGAGAATGTAGTTGATGTTTCTTCTTTCCTTCTGGTAGAGGAAACTGCAGATAATTTTCTAAACTGTCAAATGTTTCACAGCATGGTCATAACTGTCGATGAAGATGACGCTGAGTCTTGTAGCTGTGACACAAGTGAAATGCAAGCTAGTGTTCATGAAGTTTTTGATTATGATATTGATGAACCTGACTGTGAGTTTGGTGAAGTTGATGAGAGTGAGCGAAGTTGCAGTAGCTGCAAAATGTGGTTGTCCGCCGACGGCTTGGGATATTTGTCGAAGGAGCAAGAAGAAGAAGAATCAATTTGGGTTGATATCAATTTAAGTAGACAGGTGAAGGATGAGATGGAGGATAGACTTTTCTGGGAAACATGCATGGCCGTAGGATATCCATAAACTTTTTCTTGTTTTTTTGTATATACATCAACCAGATCATTCTATGATATTGATATATTATCTTGCTGGAGAAATAATACCATGAGAAAGTGATTTTACAAGTAATTGCACCTCCTCAGCCAATGATTTCAAATATAGGAAATTACCTTTATCATACCCAAAGTTTACTGGTAAAATTTTCATTTTGTTTGATTTTAATTTTAAGATCAAAGTTCATCAATTGAATGCTAAAAATACGAGTATTCGTTGTAGTTTTAAGAGAATGTTTCTTTATGATTAAAGATTAATACGATAATGTAAAGATTTCGTTTCTTGTTTGTAACAAATGTGTGTATGACTAATTATGGAGAAGCCATTTTAAAATTTTTTCTATTGACTTGGGGAGTGATCGTCTTCCATTTGAACTCAATACTTGTCATCTACATGTCTTCTTGCTATGAATTAATTTTTCATTTATGGGGTTTTCTTTAATTAGTTTACATTATCATTTTGTATCTTTGACTTCACACACACACACACACACACACACACACACACACATATATATATATATAATGCCAATAACTACTCAAATCTTAATTATCTTCTTCCACAAGTTATGGTTTTCTATCAGTGGAGACGATAATTTCAATCTATATAGACATTCAAAGAGTACAGTTAAGGATCAAATTAAAGTAACTAAAGCATTGACTTTGACAATCGTGTTTCTATGTATATAATCTAATTTAATTATTATTTTATGGTATCCCTAAATTTTCCATTGATGAGTAATGCTATATTTACACCACCCATTACACCATTTTCATTACACCATGATGTGACATATGTCACATCCACACAAATTTTTAATTATTTTAAATTTTTAATATTATAATAAAATAATTATTAGTAAAATGATGATGGTGTAATGATAATGATGTATTTGGTGGTGTAAATGTGGCATTACTTTTCCATTGATATGGGTGATATATATGTCAAACAGGGACGGATCTAAAAATTTCTATTCGGGTGGGCCAAAATAAAAACTAATTGTCCATAACATACATATTCTGCTTTTCTAGTCAAAATTGTAACAAAAAGAAAAAAAAAAAACTTACATTTACTATTGTCCTTGGTGGGGCTTCATATTGAGGAATCGTTGCATGACCATCTCCTTATCAACACTATCAAATATATCGTTCTCAACATATGGAATTAGGCTATCATTCAAGAATTGATTTTCCATCCGATTGCGTAAATGAGTCTTCATAATTTTCATAGTAGAAAATGCCCTTTCTACATTTGCAGTTGCAACTGGTAAGGTTAACGCCAATGTGATGAGCAAATATACCAATAAGTAAATAAGATGCTTCTTCTTTCAACCATTTTCTGAGCAAGATTGGTAATATCGTTTAGTTTTGAAAAATCACTATCCGAGCACATATCATCAATGTAATTATCAAGTTGAAGTTCAACTGCCATAAGATTAGTAAAAGAAAATTCAAGTGGATAAAATTGAGCAAAATGAACTAATTTTCCCTTATCAAATGCTTGAAAGCAATCACTTGGATTTAGGGAGGCCATGCAAATAAGCAATTTTGTATTACCTTTATTAAAATGACTGTTAAGTTCTGATTGTTGCAAACCTATTATGGCATAGAACAACTCGACATGATAATGAAATAAATTTGTCATCTCTTGAACATTACGTTGCGATCTCCCTTGTGCAACAAATTTCTCTTCCATATTTGGCACATTTATATTATGAGCAATGCAAAAATGAGAAACTTCATCAAGTAGATTATCCCATCCATTATTTCTTATCAACAATAATCTTGTTTTCAACATGTGAACCAAAGACATAGCATTTACAATATCTTGATCCTTCCTTTGCAATGCTTGTAAAAGTTCAAATGTGATTCCCAAAATGTTTTTGTTAAAAGCAAAATCAAAAGAAGTCATATAATCGACCAAATCAATTACTTCAAATCTATTATCAGAATTTTCAGTAAGATCCTTGAGCACTTCAATAACAGATGAAAACAAATTAATCAAGCTCAATAAAGTCCCATAATGTGAACCCTGTCGTGTTTCCCTTGGCCACTTAAGACTAGTATCTTGATTAAGGCCTTGCCCTATTGAAAGCTCATCACTTTCAATAGTTTTTTTCACCTTCAAAGCTTGTTTCTCATTAAGAAGATCCCGACATCTAGGTGACCATCCAACAATATTTATCACACAAGAAACTTTCAAAAAAAGTCTCTCAATATTTGTATCCTTTTTTGCCACAGCTACAAGTGCTAGTTGAAGTTGGTGAGCAAAACAATGAACATAAAAGCCATATTCATTATCTTTCAATATATGTGCTTTTAACCCATTAAATTGACCTCGCATATTACTCACACCATCATAACCTTGTCCACATAATCTTGATATGCTCAAACTGTATTTAAAGAACAATGTTTCGATTCCTATCTTTAGTGACAAAGCAATCTATAAAAGTGTGAAGCTAAAAACATTAAGTCTGACGCTTTCATTTTGGTCCAAGCTTCATGCAATCTTGATGGTTGATTTAAGGCTCATCTAACGGCTGACATTTCCCTAAAAAGTTAAAGGTATAAAAGAGGGCTGCTTTTCAATTAAAGCTACAATGAACAAATCAGCTTTTTCTCTACTTTTTTGACTCTGTAAAATTCTGCTTTGCTTGGTTTTTTAGTTTACTTTAATTCTTGTAATCTTTGTGCAATTAATTGGGTTGTTGAGTGAAGGTGGTGTTTCCTTCATGGGTAGAGAAGCTTAGGGAGTATTTCTCTTGGGTTTAAAGGTTACAGTAAAAGGGTTGAGTGATAGATTAGCAAAGTAAGTTGCGTAGTGTTTGAGAATATGAAATTGTACTCTATAAACGATATTGATCTTCTTAGTGCAGCGAACCTCGGTTTTTTAGAGCTCAATGTGGACGTAGCTTGCTCAAATCTTGAGCAAGTGAACCACGGTAAACTTTTGTGTGTGTTTACTTGTTGTTGATCTCTTTTGTGATTAATTGGTTGATTAGTGTTTAAGATTAGTCCCAAATTACAACAGTGGTGTCAGCCAAGTTCTACAGTTTGTCGATTTCGTTCAGTTCTTGATTTGGGAAATTCTTGAATATAGGTTTGTTAAATTAAGGGTTTCTTGATTTAATTGTTCTTGAGGAGTCAAGGGGTCTAGAAATCATCAATTAGGTTCTTGATTTGGGAAATTTTTTGATTCTAGGGTTTGCTAAATTGGGGGTTTCTTGATTTAGTAGTTCTTAGGTAATCTTGGTCTTCAATTAGTCTGTCAATTCATGGGAATCAGAAAGCAATCCCAAGTTCCAGTGTTCAACCGAAAAAACCACAAAATGTCTACCACCATTCGCATGGAAATCACCCAATACGATGGGAAAATTGATTTCAATAGCTAGAAAAAGAAGATGAAGGCTCTCTTGTCTCACAACAAGGTGGGAATTGCACTGGAGAAAGACTCTACCAAATGGCCGGAGCAGAAGCTGAAAAAGAAGGTTCAGATTCATGACGAGGCTTATAACCTCATCATCTTGAACCTGTTGGACGATGTCCTAAGAAAGGTAGATGGCCTGGAGAATCCGATCATGTTGTGGGGTAAACTCAAAATTTTATTTCCATTACAATCTGCCCTTAACATAACATTTTTAAAGGGTTCTTTGTTTGCTTATAAAATGGATGTGTCTAAGTCTTTAGATGATAATTTAGATGAGTTCCTGAAAATGACACTAATTCTTAAAGGCACTGACCAAGAATTAGGAGACTAGCTTGGCTATGATTTTGTTAAACTCGTTGCCTGAAGATTATTGAGTGGTTAAAATTTAAAAATGCTTTACAGTATAGTGGGACTATCCCTAGTGTTGACTTGATTGTGGCTGGACTAAAATTTAGGGAGTTAGAGTTAAAGACTCAGAAAAGAAATGGCAATAACCTGTTTGTAAAAGGTAGGGCAGAAACTGGTCATATAGGAAAAGAGCTAGGAGAGGTCCACAGAGTAATTTAGGCTTTGAGAATAAGAAAAAGGTTAAAGGTAATAATAGGCCTAAAGGGGAGACTAGGAAATGCTTCTACTGTAATAAAATTGGTCATCTTAAAAAAAATTTGCTATAAGTGGATTAAGAAATAGAAACAATCCAACACAGAAAACAACCTAGTATGTACTAGTAACAACATTGAAATCTCTGAAGCTATCACAATGTCTAATTTTGCTAGTGTTAAAGAGTGGGTATTAGACTCTGGATGTTCCTTTCATATGAGTCCTAACCGAGACTGGTTCCAAAACCTTAAAACTGATGAGAGTGAAATCGTGTTCATGGGTGACAATCACTCCTGTAGGGTTCAAGGCATTGGTAGCATAACTCTTAAGCTGAATAATGACAAGTTAATAAGGCTAACTAGAGTAAGATTTATACTTGAACTCAAAAGGAATTTGATCTCGTCAAGAACCCTTGATGAGGCTAGGTTCTGTTATAAGGCACAAAATGGGTGTATAATTGTGTACAAAGATAATGAAGTATTGCTAAAAGGAACTAAAACCAATGGCTTGTACATTCTATGTGGTCAGTACTATCATGATTCTTTTAATACTGCTTTTTGGACTACTAACTTGTCTATAGCTGAGAAATGACATCTGAGGATGGGCCATATAGGCTAAAAAAGTATGAGCATTCTCAAACAGTAGGACTGTTTTGGGAATGACAAAGTCTTTTATCTAGATTTTTGTGAAGTAGGTGTATTAGGTAAACAACATAGGATGAGTTTCCCAAACGGAACTCATCAGGCCTTTAGATGTTTAAAGTACCTACATGCAAATCTGTGGGGTCTTGAGAGTGTTAAATCACATGGTAGGAACTCATACTTCCTGTCCATTGTGGATGACTTCAGTAGGAAGGTGTGGGTGTACCTCCTAAGGTCTAAGGATGAAGCCTTAACCAAGTTTACAGGCTGAAAAAATCTAGTGGAAAATGAAAGTAATAAAAGAGTCAAGGCACTTAGGACATATAATAGTTTAGAGTTATGTAACTCTGAATTTGATACTTATTGTTTTGACCAAGGGATCCTAAGGCATAGGACATTAAGAAGAACCCCTCAACAAAACGGGGTTGTTGAGAGAATGAATAGAACTTTGTTAGAGAAAGTTAGATGCCTACTTTTCACCTCAGGGCTGCCTAAAACTTTTTGGAAATAAGCCTTAACCACTGCTGCCTACCTTATCAATAGGCCCTTCCTCTAGTGCTATAGAGTTCAAGTGTCCTGAAGAGAAATAGACTGGTAAAAAGCTTAGCCTAAATCACTTAAGGGTTTTTGGGTGTGTTGCCTATGCACACACAAATGATGGGAAGTTAGAGCCAAGGTCCCTTAGGTGTATATGATACCAAGATGAGATAAAGGGGTACAAACTTAGGGAAAAAGAGGCACAGGGGGTTAGGGTTATAATTAGCAGGGATGTGGTCTTTAATGAATCAATTTTTCCTTGTAAATCTACTAACCCTATTATAGGTACCTCGAATATTGAGACAACAAATTTGAACCAAACTATTATCACCCAAATTGAGGTGGAGCTAGCAATTCATCACATGAATCTGCCTATTTCTGATGAAGATATTGCACCTGTAGAAATGCAGCAAGATGTTGATACTGTGTAAGATCATGAAGAGGCAACATAAGAGATTGATGAAGGGTCTCAACAAGAGGATCTTGCACATTATCAGCTTGGTAAAGATAGAATCAGGAGAGATATAAGGCCTCCTCCAAGATATAGTTATGTAGACCTAATATATATGATTTGATTGCTTGTGGTGAAATTCAAAGGGCTAAACTTGTCACTTATAAAGAAGCTGTAAGTTCTAAGGACAAAAAGCAGTGGCTGGCTGCTATGAGTGAAGAAATGCACTCCTTAAAGGTGAACAAAACCTGGTCACTAGTTCAGAAGCTTAAGGATCAGAAGTGTGTAGAGTGCAGATGGCTGTTCAAGATAAAGAAGACATAAACCCTTCAGACCCTCCAAGATACAATGCCAGGTTAATTGCAAAGGGCTACACACAGAGAGAAGGTATTGATTTTAATGAAATTTTTTCTCCAATAGTTAAATTTAAAACAATTAGATTGATGTTGTCTATTGTTACTCACTATGACCTAGAATTAGAGCAATTAGATGTTAAAACTGCAATCTTACATGGTGAACTGGAAAAAACTATTTTTATGAATCAGCCTATTGGTTTCATTGATAAAAAATTGCCTAAGCATGTGTGTTTACTGCATAAATCACTTTATGGACTTAAACAGTCCCCTAGGCAATGGTATAAAAGATTTGACTCTTTTATTGTTGGGATTGGCTTTAATAGGAGCAAATATGACAATTTCTTTTACTTTGCACTTACAAATGACATGCCTATATGTTTGCTTTTGTATGTGGATGACATGTTGTTGATTAGTGAATCTAAGTCCAAAATAAATGACTTAAAGGCACAATTGAGTGTTGAATTTGATATGAAGAATGTAGGGTATGCAAAAAGAATCCTAGGAATGGTGATAGAGAGAAATGGGAAGGCTAATAGATTAAAACTTCACCAAATGTCATATTTGCAGAAACTCACATCCAAGTTTGGAATGTCTAAGTCTAAGGTAGTCTCTATAGCATTAGCTAGTCATTTGTACTTAGAAAACTATAGTGCCCTAAAACCGAGAGTTAACTAATCAAAATGGAAAACATAACTTACTCTAGTGCAATAGGCTCCATAATGTATGCTATGATCAGTATCAGACCTAATTTGTCTTTTGCAATCTCTTTACTTAGTAGATACATGTCAAATCCTGGTATTGAACATTGGGTGGCATTAAAATGGTTGCTAACGTACATAAATAGCACTGTGCATGTTGGTTTAGATTATTGTAAAAGATATGATACACTTGATCTTGTAGGGTTTGTGAATTCTAATTTTGTAGGTGATAGAGATAGTAGAAAGTCCATTACTGCTTATTGTTTTATGCTTGGAGGAAATTGTGTGAGCTGGAAATCCCAATTGCAACCTTTGGTTGCACTGTTCACGACTGAATCTGAATATGTGGTAGTCATGGATGCTTTCAAGGAGGCCTTTCTTGCTGGATGGACTTGTGACTATCTATTTGGACAGTCAACGTGCCATCCACTTTAGCAAAAACCCTGTGTATCATGAGAGAACCAAGCACATAGATGTGAGGTTTCATTTTATGAGGGATCTCATTTCAAGAGGACAACTACGCTTGGAGAAGATACAAATTGAGGAAAATCCAGCAGATATAGGAACCAAGGTTGTGACTGCATCAAAGTTCAAGCATTGCTTGGACTTATTACATATAAGGTAACACATCAAA